CCAACGCGAATAGAAATCTCTGTGATTTGGACAGGAATGTGCAGGAGCCGACATGTAATGAAGCATTCTTTGGTTTTGTTTAAGTAAAATCATTGGGAAAAATAAAGAACAAGATTATTTTAAATGAACGCACTGTTCGCTTCGGCTTTTTAAAAAAATATTTTTTAATGTTTTTTCGTTTTCGCTTTGACTTTTATGAGCTGCTACTTCCTTCACCACGACGGGAGGTGCGGAGACGTGCGCGTGATCACCATACCCGCTTCTTCTTTTTCGGGTAGCGGGATTACTGGTGTCCATGTCCAGCCATCACTGTGCGAGAGGTGGGGGACACCCTGGACAGGTCGCAAGTCCATTTCAACCAGCGAGTCAGCAGAAGCGCAGCCGCTCATACGCATGGCTGGTGACAGCTGTCCATCTGAGCTTAACGTGGCTTTTTTTTTTTACCTCTTAAACCATCTGGTGCCTCCTCCTCAACAAGTAGATTAACACAATTTTATATTGTACATTCTTTAGTTTTCTTTGTGCTGATTCGTAAAACTACATCAAAGCCTGAGGCCATCCGGAACCGCACATTAAACACATTATATGGTTTGACCCTGTCGTGACAGCGCAGCGTGTTAACATCATATTCGGAAGATGTCTGTAAATTTCAGCAAAATCTCAGACTTTAGTTATCCCGTGCGAATGCGCCACATAAAATGCAGACGTTAGGGAGATTACACTGGTCCTTAGGTAAAACTAATCCCGTGCGATTAGGGCTTTATACGCCAGAAAATATGGTAGTTTAAATTGAGCGTTTTCAACACATCATAGAAGAGAAAAGGAATTCTAAACTGGAGTTTGACAGAAACAAGGATTTATTATAATTCAAGTTAAATACACGTGTCTGCAGCTTTCACATAAGCATACAAAATTGTTGTTTGCTCTGTCCTGTGGCAACACTAACAAATCCTCCTTTTTTTGTTTTATCAGTATCAAGGACTCGTGATGTTTTGAAGAAAGCAAGGACAAATTTAGAGGTAACCAAACATCTCTGCTTCATCTGCACCTCCACGTCGTGTTTTCCTTCTTGTTGTCATTATTGTGTTATTATCAGCATTATGTGATGTGTTACTCCTTGTGTCTGAAAAATTCCTGTCACAGTTTCATCACTTTTTTGTCTTACTTGTTGCTTCATTCTGAATTTGTCTCTCCTCCTTCTTCCCCTGAACCCCTCCCCACCCCAGAGGAATGAGCTGAGACTTTCCTCACTAAGCTCCTCCCCTTCCTGTCCTTACGCGGGTAATTGTCTGATGAAGCGGGAATGCCTTGTCCCAGGATCTCTTATTTTTTCAATCATTGTTTTACCTGCTTTTCTGATTAACACCACTGCTTTCCCATCTGTAACAATCAAATCCATTCTTAACATGTTAATTTTTAGTAAAATATGCTTGTTTAAATAATACGCATTTATCAAAACCAAGATATGGGAATTATTGAGGTGATACTCTCATGTAGTGAGCTCAATAACCACATTAGTTTAGAAGTACTGTTTAAAAACTAGATTTCAAAGAGCATTTGTTCAACACTCGTGTAAAACAAAGTGTCTCTTCAGTGAGCGTCTGCTGTTAAATCTGAGTCTATTTACAGCTGCGACGCTCCACAGCTAAACTAAAATAACTTCACAGCTCAACATTTACACTCTGTGTGTGTGTGCTATGTGTGACTATCAGGACTTGATGTGCAACAAACTAAAGGAAGTTCTGACTGCTGCTCTTTAACTGTAAGAACGATCACTGTCATAAACTCGTGCCATGATGATGATTTTTTCCATCTCAAATACGGATGCACGATATTATCGGCCGATATTAACGATAAAGTCAATAATCTGACATTGGCCATTCCATTAGATATAAAAGGTGCTGTTTATCCATCCATCCATCCATCCATCCATCTATCTATCTATCTATCTATCTATCTATCTATCTATCTATCTATCTATCTATCTATCTATCTATCTATCTATCTATCTATCTATCTATCTATCTATCTTAATCTTAATCTTAATCTTAATCTTAATCTTTAATAGATGATAGATTCAGTGCCCACAATTTAAACGTTTTCAAGTATTTATTTGTTTATTTTTACATAATTTGGGCTTCCAGCTCATGAAACCCACGAAAACAGGATTTCAAAAAATCTGAATACTGTGAAGACATCAGTCCACACTTCTCAGTTTTTGCAGAAAAAAAAAAGAAAGAAATTAGGATCACAACAAATCAGTCAAAATATGGTACTTTCAAAACCATATGTCAATATTCAATACTTGGTTGGGAATCCCTTTGCCTTAATTGCTGCCTCGATGTGACGTGGCATTGAGGCAATCAGCTTGTAGCATTGACTGGGAGTTATGGAAGCCCAGATTTCCTTGATGCTTGTTGTCAGATCTTCTTTGTTGTTGGGTCTGGTGCCCCTCAATTTCCTCTTGAGAATACTCCATAGATTCTCAATGGGGTTTAAGTCCAGCGAGTTGGCTGACCAGTCAAGCACTGTGGCATGGGTATCAAACCAGGTTTTGGTGCTTCTGGCAGCATGGGCAGGGGCCAGGTCCTGCTGGAAGATGAAATTTGCATCTCCATACAGATCCTCAGCAGAAGTAACCATGAAGTCCTCTAAAACATTCTGGTAGACTGTGACCTTGGACTTAAGAAAGCAGAGTTTACCAACACCTGCACCGGACATTGCACCCCAAATCACGACTGACTGTGGATATTTCACACTGGACCTCAAGCAGGATGAGCTCTGTTCCTCACCCTTCTTCCTCCAAACCCTTGGACCTTGATTTTCAAATGAAAGGCACACTTTACTTTCATCGGAAAAGAGAACCGAGGAACCCGCCAGTTGTAGCCCATCTCCCGGATGTGTCTGAATGTGGTGATTTTTGAAGCTGTGACTCCTGCCTCATTCCACTCTTTCTGGATCTCTGCCAGATTCTGGAATCTTCTGTTTGGTAATCTGCTGAAGTCCACGGTCATCTCTTTGCTGGTGCATCTCTCCTGCCACATTTTGTCCTTTCACTAGACTTTCCATTGATATACTTGGACACAGCACTCTGTGAACAGCCAGCCTCCTTAGCTATGAACTTTTGTGGCTTACCCATCCTATGGAGGGTATCAATGATGGTCTTCTGGTCAGTTATGTCTGTAGTCTTCCCCATATTGAACCGAACTGAGACGGCTGTGGCTGAGTGATTAGAGCAGTCATCCTCCAATGCGAGAATTGGGGGTTCGAATCCACCAGCAGTCACATGCTGAAGTGTCCCTGGGCAAGACACTGAACCCCTCATAGCCTCTGATGTGTGTTCCATTAGTGTATGAATGTGATAAAGCACTGATTAGTCTCAGTATGATTTGTTCATTTAGCTTTGTAGAGATCCAGTAGAGTGCTGTATGAATGGGTAAATGAGGACACAGATTGTAGTGTAAAGTACTTTGAGTATCTCGATAAGATAGAAAGGCGCTATATAAGTAGAGTCCATTTACCATTTACAAATGAACCAAACAGAAGCAATTTAATGACACCTGGGGAAATGGAGATTATATATATATATATATATATATATATATATATATATATAAGGTGCTGTTTTTGTATGATGACACACAGTGACAAGGATTCCTGCAGTGCCAGCACAACGTTATGACGTCATGCGCTCCCACCTGATCTGATCACGGCACGAGAGTATTAGTCTTCTGTTTTAAGTTAATTTTTAATTTAAGAAACTGTAAAGTATATCTATTAATGCACTACTACTTATGCACTTTTCACTTATCACTTGTGAACAGGTTAAGTTTAGATTCGTGTAAACTTACAAATTTGCACTGTTCGAGTGTTGTCATTGTGTTAGAGAGTAAATGTCGTGAATAAATTTGACATTAAACATAATCCAAGTTTAAGTGTTGCATGATTTTCATCTCCCTTTTTAGCATCTGCATTTGGTAGCAGGTCAAACTGACAAAGACCATGCAGAATAATGTAGTATTTTAATTCCACAGCAGAGAAAGCGATGTAGTCTCTAAGTGTCTAGGGAAAAAATATCGGTATTGGTATTGGTTATTGACCAAATAAGTATTAACATATTGGCATATCGGATATCGGCCAAAAATCCAATATCGTGCATCCCTAGTCTCAAACACTACGAGTGATGTTGTGTCTTCACAGCTGCTTTGTCTTATTGCTCATCCGCATCTGCAAGCATTTGTGCTTTTCACAGTTTCATCAAAGCTGAATGTTTTACGCAACAAATCAAACCTCGCTGTTGTGTTGTTTTTGTTTTCTAGTAAGTGGTGTGACATTTTTTGTAAACATGTCTTCACTTTGTTTATGAGAGTTTTATAAGGAGATGGATATCTGGACATTTTTCATCTAAAAATGAACAAATATAATTGAACCAGGAAACAATCTGCCTTTCACCTCATACTACCATATCTAAGAATAATGTTGGGGTTCATTTACTCTCATATATGTTCAGAAATTTGTTTTTATACCTTTTATCTCTCTAGAAATCTGCAGAAATTTCATGATTAAAAAAAAAGCTTAAATATATGATTGATTTATTATATGTTCTCAATAAATCTTAAGTTATTAGATCAGTCTTTTGTGCATCCATTCAGTTAACAGACTGTAAAACAAACAAGCCTTCTTTCCTCTGATTGGTTCTGGAAGTTTTCTGAGCAGCGTCCAGTACTTGTGAGCTCTGTCATCTGATCTACTGTCTGACAATAAATTACATTAAAATATAATATAAAATAAAATGGAATATACCATAGAAGTTCTATGACCCAAGTATTAGGCTCATAGATGACATTAACAGTCATTATGCAGAGCTCGAGCCATGTTTGATATGATTATCTGACACCGTAATGGAATACATGACAACAAAAAGATAGAAAAAACCTATAGGTTTATTTAAATACTTGATAAGAAAATCCTTGTAAGAAAAACAAAAAAGAATGCTTATAAAAATCGCAGGTTCCATCTCCTAATTTAACTCTAAATAACAAAGTAAATAAACATGTTAAGCAAAAAGTCAAACTGTCCGTTAAAACATTTCACTTTTCCTCACAGTTTTGACTGGTTCTGGAGGGATCAGTAAAATAAAAGCGTCTGTTCTCTGTCCATATCCAGATGAGAACTCAGGAGGTGCTGCCAGAGACCAGCCTGCTGATCGCAGTGTCCTGAGGACCTGCGGCGCTTCGGGACCCTCGAGGACTGCAGCCAGTCAGCGTCTGGCAGCGAGGAAGCGCAGCAGCCAATGCCTGCTTTAGACTTTTAAAGAACCAGCCTCAATGCTATGACCTCTGACCTCTGTGCTACACCAGCCAAGTCCCTCCACCTACGTTTCCTCCTGTTCCACACACCAACCTTAAAGCTCCATCATTTTTCCTCCGTGCAGATTAATCTGCACCTTGAGCTTCACCCTCCCACCTGTTTGTGACTCCCTCTCTAATCTCCATCTTATGCATCGTTGTCTTTTAGTGAAACAGAGAACAGTCAGAAACAGTCAGCAACGTGCCTCGTCACGCGTGCAACAGAGAATCGACTAAAAAGTGCTTCTGGTGGTTTCAGGGATGTACGTCCTGCTGATTGATCTGTCTTAGCTTCTCATCCATGACTGCACTCACAGGGTTTTGTTACAGAAGCTGTCTCTAATACAGCTGCCTCTGAGAGCAGTCACGCAGAGCTAGACAGGCTGGGGATGAAAAACGATGTTTGCGCATGTTGAAAATGGCTCGAGAGAGGAATTCTGCACCCGTAGTTTGAACTGTGCTCACTCAAAGACAACTCACCTGCATCTTTAACCTCATGGCTTTTTTTTTTAAATTAATTTTTATTAACACCTTTTTGCAAATGCAATGCAAAAATAGATTTCATAAGCTATCACTGCACACGATGGAGGAATGTAGAGTAGTTCGGCTGTGTGCTAGCTGTGTCTGTATTTATGGAGGAAGCCGGAGAAGGCAGCCATCAGCCAAGGTTTATTAATAATTTACCAGTGCCAGATAAAAGGTTAAGTCTCAAATCATTTATTTTAGGTCTCAGAAGTGTGTTTTTGGCATCAAGCCGCAAAAGTATTAAATAAAAGAAAGAACGTGGAGCCATTAGAGTGAAGTTTATGTTAAGAGAACTCAAATGGAACCAGACTAAACAGACTCCTCTGCAGGAGATCTCATATGAGCATGTGCAATAATGATGTTTCTTCAGTAATTTACTCTGCACCGGGTTTTCATTCTCTCTATTTATCCACGGTTTGATCACAACCAGTGTTAATGATTGTACTCGCATCTCGAGTGTTTATGCATGAAAAGAGATTGTTCGTGAAAACTGAAACGATGGCGCAGAGAAATGCCAAAGTTTGAACTTTGAACTCTTCGCTCAGACCTGCCTGATCCATGTGAATGGTAAAAAAAAAAAAAAAAACACCCCCACTGGATCAACCACAGTTATAAATATGACTTTTTTGTTTAACAGACCTTTAGAACAGAGACGGTGACCGTTAGACAGCTGATCAGTTGATTGGAAATATTTATTTGGACCAAAACTCAAAAGAGAGGATTTATTTTTCTTTCTAGCGAGGCAATGTTCTAATCTCTTAATGTTATACATCTTGGTTTAGATTGTTTATTCCCATGGCAATGGCTAAATAATTAATAAGTTCATCCAAACTTTGGCAGGCTGTTTGTCCTATTTGTTCAGTTCAGCATCACATTTATTCAGTGTTATTTGTATGTATATGTGCCATTTTGAGCTGTAAATAACCTGCTTTCATGTGCGAGTGTGTCGATGTGCACGTGTGCGAGTGTGTGTGAGAACAGCCAACGTTTGCTTTTGGTAAAGTTGGTTATCTGGGTAGCTGTGCAATAGCTCACTGTTTTTGATTTTGATGTAAAACATTTATTTTGTGCGTGCGTTTCTCTACCTCCTGCGGTTTATAGTGAGGATGAAACACTTTTAATCAGTTTTTTCACATGGGTTGTGTCTGATTAGAACAAACTATGCTGTTAAATTATGCTAATCATGTATCACCTCTTACAAAGTGCTGGTTAATGTTGCTTCGCTTGACTTGAAATTTAGCCTGAGCGCTTCGGTCTCTGGTAGAAATGGCCTTGATAAAGCTTCTCCTTGATTTCTGCTGAACGAGGTTTTGTTTACGCTTAAAAAAAAAAAAGGGCAAAAGTTGCCAAGGTGGGTCGGAAATTGATGAGAGGTTTTAAATGATTTATTCAAAAATAAAGGCAGCTTCAGGAAATGATTGTAAAGCTCTGAATCCGCAGAGCACCTTGTTGGAGCGTAAACAAAGCCTTTTTGCTTTTAGGAAAAGAACCAAACGGTGAATTATAGCGATGTGATGGTGTTGAGTTGCATATGTATATAGTGCTATCTGATTGGTGCAGATATTATTAAGGTGTGCATAATGACTCGGGACTCTTCTTGATCCTGACTTTGGTGTGTTGTATTGGCAAAAGTAACAGCGATGGAGAATTTTGAGAAAGAGCAAATAAAACACTGGAAAGTAATGTGTGGTTTATTTCTGGTTATCGTCTTATTTCTCATTAGTTGTCAATTCCAACATTTGTTTCTATTAAAAATAATTTATCGACCCATCTATAGGTTATGTGGCATAGTCTGTGTGTTATCTGCAGCTAACAGTGAGAATAATCAGTTTGATCAATTTCTCAAAGGGAAATAATTTCCTTTTGTATGGCAAGATGAAACAACTGGGAATGATGTCACTCCTGACTGGACTGTTCCAGCTGCAAGTTGTGAACCAGTGGGATTAATGAATTGTTGCGATCGCTAGCCAGGCTAGATGTAGGTGCATTTAATTTAGACACTGCAACATGTTCACTAATGGTTTGAGTGATATGATACAAACTGACAGCAGCGCAGCAAAGAGTTTGTTGCTGCAGCCGTCTCTGGTTTCTGTACACACGACAGCCTTGCTGGATTTTGAGGTCAAGGTTGAGCCACTCCAACCAGGCCCCCTTCAAGAACGAATTCCCACCCTTCAAAACAAGTCAAACACAAAACTTATCAGTTTGAGTAAACATTATTTTAGGTATATTTACATTTTGAGTCAACCAGTCAAAGTTTTCATACGTGGTCACTTAAAAACAGAAAATTCTTGCAGGGTCTCTCTGGTTTAGTCTAATGAGACTTTAAAATGATAAGATGTGCAAGTTCTGTTTTGAAGGTACAAATACACATTTATTTATTTTACTGTGCTGCCTGTTAGTTTTTCACGATTTGCAAGTAATTAGCCCATGTAAGCTATTTCAATACAGTGTGCTATCTGCAGGTAATGGCACATGATGATATTTAGGCAGTGGTGGACTCAACTCTAGTACTTGAAAAGTATTGATATTCATGGTCAACTCTTACTCAACTACAAGTAAAAGTTCCTCAGTTAAAAGTTTACTCAGGTTAAAGTACTGAAACACTTACTTTTGAAAATACTTAAGTATTCAAAAGTACAAGCTATATTTTCTAATATCAGTACGGTGCTGTATTGCAGGGATGTCAAACCCACTTACAAAAATGGAGCCAAAATTAAAACCTTTTTCAAACTAAGGGCCAGTTTCAGAAGCTACATAAACTCAAGTTAGATACCCAACATTTTTTCTTGGTTGCAGGTTCCTCAAAGAGTTTGATTGGTCTCATTTGTCGTTTTCTTTTTGACATCATAATCAAAGATTACTGAAAAAAATTCAAGTGAAAAAGTATTTTACATTTAACATATCTTGGGGGCCAGATGTCAACAAGGGCCACGTTTGGCCCCCGGGCCTTGAGTTTGACATACTATATGTGCTTTATGGTTTGATGATGTAATTCCAAATCCATCCCAGGTGTGACGGGCAACTGTGATTGGTTCCTCTTTGTGAGCGTGTGGCCAGTTGTACTTCAGGAAAGAAAATCAGCAACAGCAGATTACAAAGCTGAGCCAAATGGAAAGAGTAGCCAATGACAAGCTTTCTAGAAATGTAGTGGAGTCAAAAGTTCTCTAAAACACAAATACTCAAGTACATACTCGGAAAATGCACTCAAGTACAGTCCTCAAGTAAATGTATTCCATTACCGTCCACCACTCTAGGCCATGAATGACATCATGCTTTAGATTTTACTTTTAAGGGTGAAATGATGCTCGATGCCGTCCTCCTGTAAGCTGAAGGCTTTTCACCTCTTCTGTAATAAAAATGCACCCATGAATGTTTTAAGTTCCAAAATGAAGGCATACGCATATTACTGCGTTTGTGTACACAGTTTCAGCTAACAAACTAAGGAGCCTTTGTGTCCTTCAGAACTTCACCGTCTAAACGTCGGTAGACACACCCTCGGGTGCACGCTCCAGTTACAGCAACAAGGTGAAAAGTCAGAGGTCCTGACAAGCAAAAACGTGCAGAGGAATTCTTGTCTGCTGGTACGATGTCCTTCAAGCTTTAAAGAAACACGCAGGGACAGGAATGAAAACAGATACGATGATGTGAACATGTTTTTGATCTAATTTTTAACAACAGAGAGTTTTGATGAATTATAAAACCAATGTGCCCAAGTATTCTGCAAAAACTTCTCTGGCCTTGTTTCAACACCAACACGAGCTATAAACTGTCATTTGGCTGATCGGCAGAGGAATAACACAAACACTGAGGTTTTCATAAAAGAACAAATGCAAGATCAGTATTTTCTGTCTTTATTTGCAAACAAGTACAACTTTGTACAGTGGATCCTCACATGGTTTCTGCAAAGCGTTTTGAAACATTCGTGAAACGGCTGCAAAATTCAAGTTTTGGTTTTAGCTTTAAAACTCCATGGCACTGCTCAATACTTTTTCTTAAAATGTGTAAATCTAAACTCTTTTAGGACAAAACATTACAGAGGGGAGCAACATTAAGAAAATACTTTCAGAGCATCGAGCTGAAAACTAACTATTGGAGCTTTTTATTGTTTTTTTGCAAGTCTGTAGAGAATCAACTTGAAGCATTTCCATGCACAAAAAAATACAGCACAAAAAAATATTTTGAAATAAAGTGAACAAACAACAGTTTGTTATAGCCCTGTTAATGATTCTCAGCAGACTGCAGACATTCAGAGGAACTGTGGCAGGCGAGTTTGTGACTACATGTAACAAAATACATTCATGCTGGAGAAACGAAACTGAAAACAGGCGAGCCGAAATAGTCAAATCTAAAAAAAACATTTAAATGCAACCTGAGCTGCTACAGGGGCTGCCTGCTGCATAGTTAAACACTTACATCATCACACCCGCTTACAGGAGGGGAAACGTACTCAGACTTCTGTCAGGAAAAAGGCAACAACAGAAATTGAGCACACATCTGCCCAACATTCCTCATCTGGAGGCTTTCAGTTTAGTTTAGGAAACAGATTCCACTCTCGCACCAAAGGACATTGTGTTTTACAAAGCAGGACACTGGGCCTCTACTTATGACAACAGTTTGAGAAAGAACTGATCTTTTTTTATATTTAATGGCACAATATTGCACTAAAAGTTCAAACCAGTCCAGTCTGTCGCTACAAGTCACTCTTATTCTCTGCATTCAATAAATACATTTTAAAAATATGATAACAAAAATGCACAAAGTGCAGTTTTTAAAGCCAACTCGGCGTTTTGAAAAGCTCTGACCTTCCAAATCCAAATATACTCAAAGAACATTAACAGCCTGTTCAGCATTAAAAAAAAAAAATTAGATTTGCTGAATTGTTAACTCACCTAGATCTTTTAAAACATCTAAAGCTTTTTTTTTTTTTTTTTTACAACAACCTAAGGTAGCAGTTGATAAAAAAACAAAACGAAAACAAAAAACAGCAGCCTTTATGTGTTACAGCAGTGGATGTACAGTACACGCATGAAATGAAGGTTTTTGGTTTACTTTAACCTCTTGCAGACACAGACACATTCGTTGGCACCTCACAGCTCATTGAAACAAGGTTTCATTTCTACTAAACACGTTTCAGTGAAAGGCAGTTGTCCAACGTAAATCAGCATGCCTTTAGTGAGCAAACAAAAAGGAAAAAAAAACTAGATAAATTGCATTTCCTGTGAAAATGCAGTACGAATGCTTATTGCTGAAGAACTTACTAAAACACAGCTGAACTTAGCTAAAAGCATGCTGAAATGTAGCAGAAATGAAAAAACAAGCCTAAGTTAGCAGAAGAAAGCAGAAAGAACACATATTTGCTCCTAAGCAGAAATGAGCACAAAAATAAGAAAATTAGCAACAAAAAAAGAGCTGAAAAGGCAGAAAGAAGCTTATGTTACCAGAAGGAAGTGGAGAGAGCACAGTTGTGCCCAATTAGGCTGAAAGAAGCAGAAAATAGCACAGAAAAATGGAAATTATTACTAAATTATTACTAAAAACATCTGAAAAGTAGCTAATAAAGCAGAAAGAAGCTTAAATTACCAGAAGGAAAAGGATAACATTTTTGCTGAATTAGGCTGGAAAATGTTGAAATGAGTGTGAAAAATGTGGATTTAGCCAAAAAAGCTAAAAAATGAGCATAAAACAGCTAAAAAAATAGCTGAAATAGCACAAAAGGCTTGCATAAATAAGTTGAAAGGAGCATAAAAAGCTGAAATTAGCTGAAAGAAGATAGAAGCACAAACATGTTCTAGTTAGCAGAAAGGATCTAAAAGGATCGTAAAACAGCTGAAAAAAATAGCTGAAACTAGCTGAAAGTAGCTGAAAAAAGTTGAAATTTTAACAAGGAAGCTGAAAGAAAATGAAGCAGAATAAAATGTGAAAGGAGCAGTAAAAGTTTGTAAACAGATCTAAAAATTTGAAGGATTTAAAATGAGCTCAATTCATTTTTTATGGAGGAAAAAAAAAATGGCAGAAAAGGCTAAATATTTCAAAAAGCTAAAGTTGCACCAATACCAAAAGTCATAGCAGGATTGTCCTGACCAAGCTGGATGTTTCTGATAATAATAATAATAATAATGTCATCACAATGTCAGCACTGTATGTTTCCATACAATGGCGAAATTAGTCTCTGCATTTAACCCATCCACCACCAGGTGGTGCAGTGGGCAGCTATTGAAAGCGCCCGGGGGACATTTTGGGGATTAGACGTGCTGCCCAGAGACGCCACGTGATGTGCAGTGACTGGGGATCGAACCTGGGACTCTCGGGTCCCAAGCCGGCTGCCCTGCCTCTACACCATCTCGGCCCCTTCTGATATGTGATTCGTTGAAATAGCACAAAAATTGTGGAACAAGAAAGATGTCAAAAAACATACGGAAGAAAAATGGATCACAACAGTGTGAATGCTTCATAAACATTCACACTATTATTTGTTGTTTATTCTACGAAGATCTGATAAAATGGTTTCATGTTTGCTGGGACCCTTAAAAAGAGATGATTATCTTTTCATTCTAGCTACATTTAAAACTACCAGTGTTCGACTTTAATTATTGTCAAAGGTGCCTTCTAGATTTTCATTGTTCAGCCTGTTTAAAGGGAACAAACGGGCCGATGGGCAGTTTAGCATCACTGCGCTCCACACTGAACATGGAGCAGAGAAATCAAAGGTGAGCGCTCTCTGAGGAGTGCTGGAAGAAGATTTTAGATATCTGTGTTAAAGGCTTCAAGGCTGTCTCCAAGCAACATCATGTTCCTGTGCCCACAGCTGACAGTATTATTAAAAGTTTGAAAAGTATGAAGTTCATGGGACTGTAGCCAAATTCCTACAATGTGGACGCAAGAGAAAATGCAACTCCGTGTCAACCAGATCAATAGTGCAGATGGTCAAACAAGGACCAAAGAAACAATCCATAACTGTTATCCAAGGTCAAGGTACGTCCCTTTCTAATCGCCACCATCCGTAACATGTTGAAAAATAATGGACTCCATGGGGGAGTGATCCACTATTGGCAGAAAAATACAAAAAAAGTCAGATTGACGTTTGCCAAAATTCATGTTGACAAGTTTCTTAGTTTCTGTGACTGATGAGTAAACTGGAACTTTTTGGTCAGTCATAGGTGTATCGTTTTATTATTGTGAAAGGTTACCATCTAATTTATCTGCATCTGAATACCTCACCTGACTTTTTTTATTTTTCCTTTACATCTAAAGGGCATTTCAAATAGCTAACTTTGGGTTTTTGTGCAAGTGTTAGCTCTTTGTTTTGATGCTTTACCTGGAAATAGCAAATCCGAGTGTGATTTTTTTGTCACTAGGACAAACAAAAACCGCTATTTCTGATCTAGCAAAAGAAAAAAAAACTAAAATCTTTTGGTTGATTCTGGTCACATGACAAGCAATCGCTCCAGTTTTACTCAACAATTAAAAACTAAACCATTAAAACACAGTAAAATTCAAAATCCTATGAAACGATTCATATTCAGGTGTTCTCCCTGACCAAAAATATCCATTATTACAGATCGACAGAACATGCGCTACACAATTTATCTCTGTTTGCAAACTAACTTGACAATAATCACAACACACAGCGGTTTAGTCAGTCTCATGTGTTTGTAGTTGCTATCAGTAAAAACCACAGTATGGGTCTTATCTCTCCCTGAAACTCAACACAGCCAACCTTTGTTGCCTTTTTAAAAAGCTCCATGTAGACTGAAGTGCACCCTCGCCCACTTGTGCTCAGCTCACCTGTAAACCTGTTTCAGTGCAACATCTATCTACATGTGATCACATCGTTTGGCTATAATGAAACAAGAAAACAGCAGAATACAAACATGCTGCTCTTTAGAAGTGCTGCGGCGCACGTGAGCGGAGGCTTAGATGGGCTTGTAAAGCAGAGAAGTGACGTATTTCTTTTTATATCTGTGAGTAGCACTGAGCACCATGACTCCATCCTGCACAAAGAAAAAAAACAAAAAAACAACATAGAGAATTGCTTAAAGAAATCAGCAAGGAGTAAAAAAAAAAAAAAAGAAAAATTGCTAGTATTTAAATCCACCAGCTACATCTGAAGAATGAGATTTCAGCCATCAGTGAACCCACCTTTATTGAAAGGGCATAAAGGTGATTTAGCATCACGTGGTTGGGTTCAGGCAGCAGGGCAGGATCACACTGACGTGAATAAAAAAAATATAGAAAATGATCAGTGGTAAAAGTTTTAAATCACAATGTGGAACCATTAAAATGAAAATATAATAAAAAAACAGCTGGAGACACTAACAGATACGTTGGTGTCCTTGTTAAGAATAACTTGAAGCAGGTGAGGGGGGAGAATGGGCGGGGCTTTGAGGTGCTCTTCAGGTCTAAAGATGTACTGCGCCTGGCCATAGGGACCTGGAGGAGAGCTGGACAGGTCTGTGACAATAAAAACAAACAGCTTTAGTAGATCAACATGTGTACAGCTCAAATACTGATGCGTTGACATTCAGCCGTGTTTGACATCTAACGTATTTTTCGCTGAATAAGTCACTTTTTTTGCGCAATTTGCATGCCCTACGACTTATATGCTGAAGCGACGTATTTATGGATTTTGTCTCATATTTATAAACCAATTTTTGGCTGAGATATGACAGTTTTCATTCATTCCGACTGAAAATATTGAACACTACCATTTTCAGCCGCTAGATGGCAGTTGAGCAGTAAGGCATGCCGTTGTATCATGTAATGGATAAAAGTGGTTATTAAAGACAACTGGCTTGCCACAGCCTGCCTGGAGCAACCATCAGCTTCATTTCGCTGCGCCGCCCCAGCGAAATGAAGCTGATTTGACCATTGAAGTGCATTTATTAAGTAAAAGTTCAACTAAGACACACCTTTACTATAAAGTTGAGCAAACAAATAAATGTTCTTAGGTGGTTATCTTGTTCAATTCCAGAGAAATGGGCAGCAAGTCACCCTCTGCACATTCATGTTTCCACATAGTGGCTTTTGAAAATGCAGCTGATTTGACTGTTAAAAGTTAATTTATTAAGTAAAAGTTACACTGAGACACACCTTTACTATAATTTCAAGCAAACAAACAATTGTTTTTAAGTGTTAATCTTGTTCACTTCTTGTTAAAGTCCTCCCGTGCACGCTCCTGCGGCCGCCACTTGGCAGCCAATTGATTTTTGGCACAACACCAGCCCACATTTCCGGGTTTGGTCCACATTTCCAGGTTGTCAGCGGTGATGCATAACAAACGCGACTCGTCAGCAGTGATGCATAATAGATGCAATGTATACGGCAAAGAGACACATTTATGGATTTTTCCACTTTTTTAGACATATTTGGACTGATGCGACTTATAGGGCGGTGCGACGTTCACGGCGGAAAATACGGTGCATTAAAATTTATAATCAACAGTCTAGATGTGCAAATCAAAAACAGGACAACAAGAAGTGAGGGTAGCTGAACGCAGGCTCACCTGACGTGTCGGAGCACTCCAGAGAGTCGACCTGCAGAGCGTCAAACACCTCGAAGTCAGACTTCTTCACTATGATCAGGTTGTTGATGGTGCCGAGCTGGCTTGTTACCACTGGCTGTCAAACAGATCAAACATTTAGGTTATCAGCAGGAGTGAAAGCAGGGCCTGATGACACCAAATGACATTTTTGTTAAACATCTAGAATGAAAAACACTAATAAAAAACATAACATATTGCTCATTAAGGTAAGTAAATTTACTGTGTGATCTGTGGCCATTTGGTCAATAAATACATTACTGCATTTTATTTGCAACAGCTAAGATATGGGACAGTTTAAAATACATACTGTCATCCAAAGAAACCAGAGCAACCCCATCTCATGATGGAGACTTGGAGCTCCTGTACTTGATATTGTGCTTTTCCTGGTATTAGCAGCAGAGGAGGATCGGCTGTCTTGCAGATGTTGCAAAGAAGACTTTAATGAATACCGTTTACGCTCACTGTGGTGTTTAATTTGCACTTTCAAAATATATCTCACTAGTGTAAAGTGAAGTGCTAATACACACCACATCCTGTTCATTTGCTAGGCAGCAGAGGCAAAGGAGCAGGAGCTTACTATTTACATGCCAGCACATGTAGCAGCTCACAGAGCAGGCTGTCAACTCACCATTTATTTTTAGTATCAAATGATGAACGAAGTCAGTAAACCATGGACGCGTGTATTTTCAGGCTGTGCTTTACCCAGTAGGCAACTGTTGGTTTCTTTTTCTGTTGCACATTTATCTTGTCGGTGGGTAATGACACAATAAACCTCGATTTCTCTGACAAATCCTCCCTATCTTAAGGACACTCCTTCCAGACAATGTTAGTCCTTTCCATTTAAGATATTTATTCCTCTCACTGTTTGTCACCTCTTCTTTTTGACTGGTGCATCAGTGATAAGAAGCAAAAAGGGGTCTCTTTGAGATACAATTGTACAAAGAAAAGGTAGAATAGATGGGGAAAAAGCTATATTGGTTTAACTCACTTAAAATGTCAAAATATCAAATCATCAATTAGATGTTTATTTTTATTTTCTGATTGTTGTAGATTTTAGGTAATTCCTTTGTGCATTCACCATTTGGACCTTCTTTGGAGGCTTTTCCAGTTGTTAGTCTGCAGTGAGAGTTTAAGAGGTAGTTATTTATCATCATTGGGGGTTAAGGGTTGCTTTTCCACCCTAAACTGACAGTGTAAATAAATCTCGTCTTTCTCGTTTAGAAATCTAATATTTTATACCTCTATTATAACTGCAAGGATAAATCAGCTAAACTGTTCGACGAAGTTAAATAAATGAATAAATAAACCAGTAAGGCCTTTTTACCTTTAATTTTATTGTAATATGTACAAATCCCAATAAAGTGCATGCTAAAGAATGAGCAGCTTTTCTCTCTTCTCACCACACTGCACACCGTGGTGCAGAATATGTGAGCATTATTTTCTCATTAATCAGCACAAAGTGTTCTTTTTCACATGAATATTGGAAAGTTAATATATGTTGATCTCAACCTGGAAACACAAAAAAGCAGTTCTGAACGGCTGTCTACGTTTGTCTTTCTCAACCAATTATGAGCGATTATTGTGAGAGTCTAAATAAACATTATTTTTGTGGCGATGGCTCCGTTTGTCCTAGTCCAACGTGCTCCTGCCATGATGGAAGTTTGTGCTGTTTTCTGTTTCTCCTGACACAAAAGAACAACCTGACCCACAACTGTGTCCCAGAACTTAGCTAATTCAGCAGAAACTAGAAATATGAATAATAAGAAAAAAACTAACAAAACAGTATTTTAACAACTATAAGAAGAGGAAAAAATGACACATTAAAATATATTGATAATGTCAATATCTGCAAATGAGCTAATTATTTTTTTTTTTTGCTTTATTTCATGAATCAGAACCTGAGAAGCAATAGTTATTGCTTTGTGAGATCACTCCCATGATGAGCGCAAACTAAGAGCTCAGAGCAATGCACTTAGATAAATAATGCATGATACAATCACAGGTTAATAAAAGTTTTAGTTGTTAAAAGCCAATTAGCCTGCTGTGCAAAATGCACAGCAGGCTAATTGGCTGAATGATGATGCAAAAACTTTCAGAATTCATTTGCATGTTTATGAAGGTAACAAACACATAAAAAGTAACAACTGTACCTCTGAGGGATCATGAACCCACTGTCCATCCACAAAAAACTTGTACTGGTGCTCTCCTTCAGGCAGGTCCAGAATGGCTACAAAGTCATTGTGGCTTTAAACATAGAAGAAGAGAGGAATAATCAGAGATTTTAGTACATGTAACTGCACAATAGCTACAAGCGATGCAATCTCTTGAAGTTAGCTTCAAGCAGAAGTGGGCTATCACTACAAGATTCCCTTGTAAAAACAGTAACTGTAAGATGTCGTCTGCAAAATCATCCTCTTTACCTCTTATTTAGAGGTATCTTTGTGTTCCAGTTATTGAATGAACCAGCTATGTACACTTCTTTTCCTCCTCCAGCCCAGCGAATCACAGTGGGACGAGCCTGAGGACCAGTTTTAACCAGATCATCCATATCAGGGGTGAATTCTTTTTCCCCTGAGGTCTGAAAACAAATACATGCAACATCTCAGCAACAAGCTACATTAAGAATTTAATTTGAAATGTAAAAGGTGTTGGATTATACCTTGGACTCCAGTCCGTGGGTACTGAAGATGTTGGGGTCATCTGTGCTGTCCACCATCTTGCTGCTGGATTCTTGGTCCTTGGGACTCCCGCTGCTGTCGGAGCGTTGAGCCTTCCCTCCATGGCGATCTGCAGACACTCTGTCACTGGTGTTGCCCATCGTGCCTCACTGATTATTATGCTACTGGTGGATAAAAAGCAAACAAGGCAATTGGTTTTTTCAATGATGATTACTAATAGGAAACAGAAAAGCTCCAACATCAGAATTTTCCAGAAAATACAGAAATCATAAACCAGATTTTATTTTTTTTATTTTATGTTCCAGCTATTTAAAAAAATAAATAAATCACTGAGACACTCTTGTTTTAATTTTATAACCCTGCATCTTGTTTCCGTCATACTTTTAATATCTACAGGTTTCATTCACTTCACATTATGTTGTATAATATTAGAAGAAAGTGACTTTTAGGACGGCTTTGGACATGAACTAACCATGCTCTGTCTGTACAGCTGGTTTTAAGACGTAAATTAAACAAAAAGAAGATGCGTGCTGTAACATGAATAGTGTCTATTTTGCTGTGGAAAACATGCAGACAAAACGTAGTAATAAGAAAATGATCAAACATGCAGTATTATTCATGTTGTCTTATGATGCAAGAACAGAATGGCTTCTTTGACAACCCCCCCCCCCCCCAAAAAAAAAATGGTGATCCTCTGTATTCTGTGTTAAATAGGTTTTCTGTACATATTACGACAATTTTGTGTTTGATTCTTACTGGTTTTAACTATTCTTTACTCATATTTATAGTATTTATAAAAAGTGTCTACTGAATTAAGTTGAGACATGAAACATTTTGATAGAGTGTTTTAGAAATGGGAACTGTTTAAGTGTCAGCTGTGCTTGACACTACCCAAAAGTAGCATGATTTTTCTGCATGGAAAATTCATATTGCTACTGTAAATAAAATAGCCATATTTGTTCTAGCTGACACAGCTTATTTTTAAATATTCTCTTTTAACAACAATTTCCGAATGAGCCACCGGAACAAATTCTTCCACAAGGCCGGTTTCATTAAACTGCATGTTTATGGTGTTTGTAAAAAAACAAAAACAAAAAACACTGAAATGCAACAAAACCTGCAGTGAAAACAACAAAAATCTCAGTCAGGAGGTCAGATAAGGTATCGTGAACTAAAATGACAGAAAATGACAATTCAAAATAAATGGTGAGTGTCGCATGAACATCATCTTCTTTCAGCTATTCACTCTTCAGGGGTCTCCACAGCGAGTCATCCTTCTCCATCTCCCTCTGTCCTCACTCCAACTACCTCCGTCTCCATGTCCATGTCCTGTTTTCCTGGCAGCTAATTTTCTAACATCTTTCTATCAATATACCCACAGTCCCTCCTCTGGACATGTCCAAACCATCTCCATCTGGCCTCTCTAACTTTATCTCCCAGTTGTTCAACCTGTGCTGTACCACTGATGATCTCATTCCTAATATTATTCATCCTTGTCACTCCTAAGGAGAACCTCAACATCTTCATTTCTGCCACTTCCAGTTATTTCTCCTGCCTTTTTGTCAACGGCACTGTCTCTAGATCATACAACATAGCTGGCCCCATCACTGTCTTGTAAACTTTGTCTTTGACCCTTTTGTCACAAATCACTCCTGAAACTTTTCTCCGTTCACTCCATCCTGCCTGGACTCTTTTTCACCTTTTTACGACACTCCCCATTTCCCTGGACCCCAAGTACTTGAAGTCCTGCACCTTTCTGACCTCTGCTCCTTGTAGCCTCACGGTTTCTCCTGCCTCCCTCATTCACACACATGTACTCCGTCTTACTACAGCTGACTTTCATTCCTCTTCTTTCAAGTGCATACTTCCACCTCTCCAAGTTCTCTTCCACCTGTTCCCTGTTCTCACCACAGATCACAGTGTCATCTGCAAACATCATAGTCCACGGGGATTCCTGCCTGACCTCATCTGTTAGTCGGTCCATCACCAGAGCAAACATGGAGGAGCTCAGAGCCAATCCTTGATGCACTCCCACCTCCACCTTGAAGCTATCTGTCATAGCTTCAATTCCTTGAAGCTTGAGTGTAGCATGAATATAAATACAAAAATAATTTAAATGTCGAATAAAAAGATGTAACCTATTGTTAGTCTCCCAGCTGGATGTTCAGCTGTTCCCATCCACCTCACCTCAGTCCAGGAGAAATATTTTTAGCTGTTCGCAAAGTCAGCTAGCTACAACTAGCTGTAACTAACTCGGCAACTTGTTAGTTAGAGGTCAATCCTCACAAAGCTTCGCAGTAAATGTAATAGCATATATTTCAACGAGTAGCTAAAAAACAGACCGATAAACACTTACCGACACCAGCTGTCGCTCAGCGGGACAGCAGGCTCTCACCGTCCTCCCCTCTTGCAAGTTGCAACACACAAACCGAACTGTGCTCCCAACAACCGCGAGCGCTGAGGACAAAAAGGGTTTCAACGGTCCACCTATCAGGAGCGAGAACAAATGTGACGTCATCAGCAAGGGACCGTTTCTTTTACTAAAGAAAACAAATATGAAGTAAAACAGATTTGTGCTACAATGCCACATTGAAAACCTGTTTTATGCACTTAAATATCAATTTCATGCTGCTTAACTCTACTGCAAATCAGAAGAAAACCATTCAACTTCACTATTCGAGGTGCTCCACAGAACGTCCTTCCTCCCTGTAGATATCAAACTTTTCAACTCTACCCCTTTTCTACACATTGGACAATACCTGCACCACAATAAATATTTTAATGTTTCTGTCTGCACCTGACCAGTTTTAGAACTTTATTGCTGGTATTTTTATATTCTCTGTTATTTTTTATATTCTCTATTATTTTTTTTATGTGATTCCTTGTATGTTCCTTACTGAAACTCTGGCACAACAATTTCCTGTGGGATCAATCTATTATATCTTATTGTTTACAATTGAAAATGAAGATTGTACTGTATAATGATAATTATAAACTATTTTATTTTACTTTCATATTAATTCAATAAACTAGAGGTATCTACCTTTTTAGATGTGAATATATTTCCAAATGTAGGGTGTTGTCATGGTTCCTTTTAAGATGTATAATTAAAAAATAAAAAATACACACATTTTTATGTTGGTATAGGTGTACTCATTTTCCCCCTGCTTATTATTTTAAGGTTTAAGTGTTTGAATATTTCAAAATTATACCAAAAGTCATGATTGTAGAAGAAGTCCTAGAACTAAAAACAGAATAATGTCAAAGCTTTTATTTTACATAGAACAGCTCGTCTTCTGTTGGTCACAGCTTTATCTCAGGTGTAGTGTGAATCAGATTGTTTTGTTTAAGCAGTGATAATCTGACCACATGTGCAGGCATAATGTGAATATGATTCATGTTGACATGGACCAAAGAAAAAAAAATGAACAGTCTTGATTTTTGGCTTTAAAGCTTTGCCAAATTTTTATTTTTACAAACAAGCGTTGAAACACTTAAGGAAAAATGAAACGAACTTAAAAGCATCACATTGATCTCTTTCATGTCTTCCAAGTTGCAAATCAATCAAGCTATATTTGTATTGTTACATACATAGTGCATGCAGATCTCAAATTATGTCAAGCATGTTTCATATTTATTTATGGAACAAATAAAACAATGACAATACATTAATAAACTGTTCAGCAGACATAAGATGTACATAAAACCCAAATTAAAAGACAAAAGTGTAACTAGAACGTTTAAAAGCACTTTATTTGCATGAACAGTTGCTCATTAGCTGCCAAGTCTAATTTCCACTTGTCCACTAAGTGCTTTATATTACCAGCTTTCCATCATGTAAATAAATTCAGTTTGCTTTGCATTAGCAAACAATCAGAGTAGTTTTTGGAACATGCATACAAGGTCAATTTTTTGCACCAACTTTTTAAAAAAGTATCCAAAATTAACTTTGCCTTTGGAATGGAAACATAGCTTCAATGAGGGTCAAATGTTCACTATTTCTTTAAGAGCTGACAACACAAAGAAAATGCTGAGCCATTTGTAAATGATGAAAGCCTGTAGGTGTGTCCGTCAAAAAAGAAGCCACACATGATAAAAAATATGGTCTTTGCAGGTATTTCAGTCTAGTTATAACTTTTTAATCAAAGAGTCCAATAAATAAGTAAAACATATGGATAAACAGTGCATTAATACAGTATATACAGCTAAAAAAACTCATCTTCAAAGTTTGCATCAAGAGGCTGTAAGGCACATTAAAATGATTATAAAGAACAATGTTTTTCACGTTGCACAACGTGTGTTTTTAAACACACACACGCTTGTCCAGTGTTAAAAAGTTTTTTTGAGGCCTGGTTTTGTTCAGCTGAGAGCTGATGGTTGGAGCGCTGACCTCTGACGGCGTATAGTCCCTCGAGAGCAGGTGCTTCAAAATTAAAAAGTGTGAAATTATCTATCTCCAGTGTGTAGCCAAATGCACAGTTCAGCAGACGTAGTGTTTCTTTTCTTATTCAGACAGACGTGGCATGGGATGAGATCCAAACTTCTCTGTAGAAAACACGTTTCCTCCTTAAGAAAAAAAAACTTTGTGTCTCTTTTTTACTCACAGTTTAAAGACTTAAAAAAAAACAGCAGCATAAATAAAACTTTTGTTACTAATGTATCAACAGAAATGTATGTGTCAAGCATTGTTCAGGTCTGTGTGTAAAAACAGGAAGTGTGTAATGTGCAACTTTTCAAGATAAAAAATAAAGCATGCGCACCACATCTGATTCAAACACTACTAGCAGGCAGCTTATAAAAACATACAACCTTCTAGCCCATGAAGTCATGCTCAGTATGTTTGATGTCCATCAGTCATTTTGGATATCTTTTCAGGTCTTTTTAAGTTTAATAAATAGCGAGAATGTTCCTCTTCTTCTTCAGTTGTCATTTTGTTATCCCCAAGCCGGTCTTCATGTACTCGTAAACCACGTAGCTAATGCTGACAGCAGGAATGACTTTCATGAAGTTTGGCAGGATGCCACGATAGAGCCCAAAGAAACCATCTTTGGCTATAATCGTCCTCAACAGAGAACTCATGGAGGGCTGGTCTGACACATCCAGAGACGCTGCAGAAAGAAAAAAACATTAGAAGGGCAGAGATGAATCTTTTACATCTGTGCTGCATTTTCATTCAAATACTGACCTGCTGCGTTAGCTGGCAAGTGCAGAAAACAAGTTTGTGATAGATTTTGATGAGCAGGGCATTTAAACAGAAGTGTCAAAAAATTTTGTATGCAACTATAATATAAACACTTTCTGCAGTGAAACATCTGGTTATTTTAACCCGACATAAAGACATCCTGTGGTTTAAAGTGACTTTAAAAAGATCAACAAGCTCATAAAGAAGGCTGACTCAGTTCTGGGGACTCCTCTAGAACATTTGGAGGTGACTGTACAAAGAAGGATTCTTCATAAGATGAAGAACATTATAGACAACCCTCAGCATCCACTTCATCAGACTGTCATACAACAACAAAGTGTCTTCAGTCGGAGGCTTCTTCAGATCTGTTGTAGGACAGACCGCTACAAGAGATCCTTCCTGCCCACAGCCATCAGCATCTAGAACAACTCTTTAATGGAACCAGGATGATGAGTTACAACAACATTTAATTTCCCTCTGGGATTAATAAAGTATTTCTGAATTAAACTGAATTAACCAGTTAGAATGACCATTTAACTAAAGGCATCAAATCAATGGCTACAACAACAGTTCAACACTTTCAGAAAATGTTTTAGAGAAAATAATTAATTAAAGCCAAAGGATATGCATAAAAATGTCCAATATGAAAACACAAGGACCCAAACAAATAACTAGTCTAAAACAACAGAATTACAACTTTTGTTTAAGACCTTGTGTTTGAAGGATCTGCCTTTAATGTCAGAGTTTCAGACTGAAACCAATACATCAAATATTAGCTCAATATCTGTAAAATTGACTAAATGACCAGCTTCTTTGTTTGATAAAGTTGGCTCTCAGCCCTCGTGAACTGGATTGAGTCCAAAAGTTAGTCAGTTGTAAAGGTACATCAAAGGATTACTTTGTGCAGTTTTAATTAAAATTAGTCAGGTGGTTTATGAGATATCTTGGTAACAGACACACACATGCACACACACACACACACACACAGTCAAAACTATTATCATCCTCCTTCACAAATAGAAATATTGGACAAATGGCTGACAGCAAATAACAGTTCTAAATTCAATGTTAGAAACAAACAAACAAAAAACATATTTAGTAATAAAAAAAAGTACCAGAAAATATGAACTAGTTAGACCAACCCTGGACTAAGCTCTGTGCGATACTTTTCTACTTTATGGACTCATTGGCTTTTGAGCCTCTATAGAAAAACTTTTTAATTCTGTGTTTTATTGTTTTTTATGTTTTCTATATGGATCTTATATTGTATCTGAAATAAAGTCAATGATGATGATGAAAGTAATTGTGTTTAGGTAATCAAAAAACGAAAAACTATTTAAATGTGTATCTGAACGTAGCAGATACATTTTCTGATTGTAGCATGATAAAAAGTGCCAAGTTATTGCAAACACTAAAATTTAAGAAACATTTGGAAGTTGACGAATGACGTTGATGGAGGGGCTTGTCTAAAAATAAATGCTTAGAATTACTGCCCGACAAAAAAAAAAGACGTGCAACACAGCGAGATGATAAATGGAAGGAAATGTTCTTTTCAGTATGAGGGCTTTAAGCAAAGTCACATTTATTATCTATCTATCTATATATATATATCTATATATATATCTATATATATATATCTATATATATATATATATATCTATATCTATATATATATATATATATATATA